GTTTCTTTTTAAATCTAAGATAGCGAAAACGTGATACATGATTCCTTATAAGATTATCTACCTTTATCAAGAAAAAATTGTCTACAAGCAAATCAAATCAATTTTTTTATGAACGTTTGAAATTCATATTTTTATAACATTTGATATTCACTTGATTTCTCGTGTAACGATTTCCTTATTTTGTTGTAATTCAAAAACGAATGACTGTAGATATACATGAAAATTTCACTGAATAATTATATTAGCATTTCCTATACAACATACAATTTTGAAAATATTTTGACTCTTTTTGAGCTGTTTACGGCCATTTTGAGTTTTCAATTATTTTCGTTTTTTTTTCTATAAATATCAATTAAAATTATATCGGTTGGGCCAAAAAGTGTAAAATTTAATCCAATGCTCCTGATATATTGTTACAATAGCAATTGAAAAATATTAATATTTAAATTCGAATTTTGGCAAAATTTATCAAATTTAAAATTGAATAATTATTTTGTAGTTAATAATTTATAAAATGTTCAACTTTTATAGCTAAGGATTGAAATTTTAAAACAAGATTTCACATAATGACATAAGTAGTTAATTCTGTTACCAAAAAATCTAAACTATACATACGCGATACGCGCAGTTTATTTTATAGTCATTTTAAGTTCAAATTTGGATGAAATTACATAAAAAAACCTAGAATAACTATTTTAGTTATTTCGTTGTGATTGTATAATATTATTCGTAGGTAGGTACTTGAAATTTCTAAAGTACACTATTATATATCTATGATAGTATCAGGGTTTGCTGTTGATATATAACTCGTTATATGTACCTAACCTAATGGATATTGTGATATGATTAATTTGGAATTTTGTTATAGGTATCTATTATATTTTAATAATAATGATTTTTTTTAATACCATAGATAAGTATATAATATGTCTTATACCTTCACTGACATACCGTCTCAGCTCAGAATCGTTTTTCTTATACAATGATATTATATCATTGAATTCAAATTTAATACTATCTATTATACAGTCACAGTGACCCACTTGTAACCTACTGTACAGCAGAGCACCTTTTTTTTATTTATTTGATATTTACAATCTGTGATTGACATCACAATAAGTAAATTGGATAATTTATGACATTTATGTACATTTTTAGCTTTGAATAATATGAAGAGGGAGGCCAACCAGTGATGGAACCCAACGTGAATTTATTTTATATTGACAAATCTCTGCAGTATTTTCTTTTGAGCCTATGGATGGGATTTATGGGTTGAGTAGATGAGATTTGCGATACTAACGGGTTAGTATGGGAAGGTAGTGTGTAATAGAAAGATCTGTAATGTTTAGTGGCTAATTGGTCAACTGACTGGATTTTTAGATCAGAGTGTAGTGAATAGTTGGAAACAAACCGACTAGAAGAAGTTATCATACGGAGGGTAATGGACTGGAATGCTTGTATCGTGCGAATTTGGGACGGCTTAGCACAGCCCCAAATTTGGATTGCATATGCGCATATTGGACGCAAGAGAGATTTATACATTATAAGTTTGTGTGCACTGAAAGTTTTGACTTTAAAATCGGACGAAGTATATGAACGTGGCTGTTGAGAGTTTTTCTTTTTTGTTTAAGGTGTGGGCCCCAGGTTAATCTTTTATCAATGGCAGGGCCGTATTGCGGTTTGGTGGCGCTCCTGGCGAATCACTGCATTTGCGCCCCCTCCCCCTCCTCCAAATTAAAAATATACATTACCTAGTTTATAAAAACATTTGAGATATATAAAACATGTAAAAACACATAGTACCTATATATTATCAAGTAATAATAACTAATAACATACAACTATTGTGTTTAATAATTTTTAATTTATTTTTATATAATTTTTACACAATATTACAAAGGTACTTTTCTTGATTTAATTGAAGCAAATTGATCAATGACATCATCAAATGAAATTGTCTTCACTATATCTTTTTCTATAGATAATATAGCCATTCCGGTGAGACGATTTTGACTTATTGTTGATCTTAGATAATTTTTTATGATTTTCAGCTTGCTGAAACTCCTTTCACAAGAAGCCGTAGTGACAGGAATTGTTAAAAATATCCGTAGTGCTACCTCTAAATTCGGATATAAATCTTTTAAAGAGTACTGATGAATATGCTTTAGAATATCTAACTGAGTTGCATTCTCAAATTTTGTCATTAATAATGGAGCCTGATATTTGAAATTCTCAATTTCAGAATACAACTCTGCAGCATTTAAATCTCGATCATACTTCAATGCCAAATCATTAACCCAGAGTTTTATTTTTTCAGACTCCATAGTTGATAATAAGTTACCGGACAAAAAATTAAAATCAGATGCGATTCGTGACATTTTTTCAAACCTCCAACATAAACTGGATAGAATAGAATCTAATGCTTCATAACATTGAGCTCTAAATTTATTTTCTGTGTCTTTTGATTCAACAGAGGTACGTTTGTTGGTAAATTCAGAAGTAATATTTTAGGATTTGGCCATATCTTTTGCCTCACTCAGATATTTTTGAAAACCATTTTCCCTTATTTCTTGAATTGATTTTATTAAACCGTTCAACATTTTAACAGCTACATCTATGGTTTGGTTTTTAGTTTGCAATGCAATATTGACGTAGTCTATCTGGTTTAAAACTATATACCATAGATTAAGTAAACATAAAAATTTTAAATTTACTTGGTATAATAAATGTTTAGCACCTATCTTTGTATCATTATTAAGTTTAGTATCCTCAGACAAAACTAAATCTTATACTAAATCTACTAAATCTCATACTAAATCATACGCATAAAATATAAATACATATAATTCATATGCTCTATCCATCCTAAAAGTTATTAAAATAAATATACATTTTTCAAATATTACGTGAAAAATATTACATGAGTAGTATTGAAATTTGCGCCCCTCTCAGAAGTTTTAGAATTGCGCCCCTGGCCCTTGCCCTCTTGCCCTGCTCTGAATACGGCCCTGATCAATGGTAATTCCAAGATATTTGACAATGTATAATGTTAACATCAAGTATACCTTATAAGTATGATCAATTGATATATTATTAATTATTATTATTTGTATCTGTTTCATGTTTGTGATACCTACATTTTTTTATAATTTTAAATATGGTAAAGATTTTTTCTATATAATTTTATGTTTAAATTTAATATAGGTACCTAGGTTTACACAATATTTATTCAAAAAGCTTGAAAATGTAATAAAAGGCTCCCAATATATTGTTACAATTTCAGTTGAAAAATATTAAAAATATATAGTCACAATTTTTGTATAAGCATTCAAGTTTGTATTTTGCAAAATACGTAAAAACGTATTTTGTATCAAGTAAATGTATAAATTATTTTGAGTTAGAAATTCATAAAATTAAGATTTGAAAATTTAATACAAGATTCCTCTGTATTTTAACAATACTTAATTTGTCCAAAAATAAAAAAATGTCTAACAGAAAGTCAAATTGAGTTCTTATATATTATTATTATTCTATAGTTTTTATGATTGTTTGAAGTTCAAATTTTTACAACATTGAATATTCATTTGATTTTTCATGTAACGATTTTCTTATTTTGTTGTAATTCAAAGAATAATAACATTGTGGATTATTTACACTTACAATTTACACCATTTGTTTATTTTATAAATGTCCATACTCCATTTTGACTCGTTTTATGCTGTTTACAGGCATTTTCAATTTTCAATTGAAAATTGAATACAAGGCTCCTTATTTATTGTTACAATAGGAGTTGAAAAATATTAAAAATTCAGTCACAATTTTTTTATAAAACCATTTAAACTTTTTAAAGTTCGAATTTTGACAACATTTATCAAAATATGAAAAATAATCTATTATTGTAATTAAAACATTAAAAAATGTTCAATTTTTATAGCTAAAGATTGAAAAATTAAAACAAAAATTCTCATGAATAATTCAGACTGTTTAGACCTAAAAAATCTAAAAGACATATAAACATAGTTATTTTTTTTCAGACATTTTTAATTTAAATTTGGAAAAAACTACATACTAAAACGAAGAATAAGGATTTCAGTTATTTTGTTGAAATTTAAAAATATTATTTATTTATTTGTGGATATATTAAACCTTTAGAGTTTATTATTATATATTTTTATACACAGACATTTTCAAAATATGTAATTTTTTCGGCAAAAGTGAATATAAGTATATAACCTACTATAGTAGATAATAATGTCTAATACTAAAACTAATTACTCTAGTAACAATAATATCATAAAATATACCTATCAAGTAATATTATTGGTTGATAAACCTTTTCACTCGGAATCGTTTTTCGTATACAATGGTTTTATATCATTGATTCAAATGTGCCTCATTTACAACTGGCAGCAGTGACATCCACTTACCTGCTTTTTAACCTGTTTTTTTAGTAATCTTAGAGTAAAATCACCCATTTCCAAAATTATAAAGAATAATATTTTTGAGGGCATGACATATTGACATATCAATTTGTCTAAATATTGTCTTAGAACATCATTTATATTTCCAATTTTTTTTTATTTTTTTTTTTAATGCCAAATACAAAGTCAAATGATAATAAAATATAAAACCAATACGTCAAACCTTCAAAAATATAATATTCCATAGTGTGGCTGATGAAAAAAACAAATAATTCGCTGACATCCTCTTAAATATTATAATGATTGACGTATTATCAAATATTAATATTTTACATACTAACAACTCCTCACTTAATATTTAAAATGTCGTAAAAAACCAACGAGAGAACACAGATCATGTTCTTACATATAAGTTTCATAATTCACTATAATATTTAAACTAAAACCATAAAATTGGAATGGCTGAACAAATATTTTGGATGTAATGGTTTAAAAAGACAGATTACAAAATTAAACTACAGAGAATTTTAGCCCAAGGTTAACAAAAATTAAATTTATATGTATTATATGAAATGAAATTTATTCGGATTTTTCAACATTATGAATATGATTATCTATATCTTGTTCACTATTAACATTATTTCTGTCACAATTTTTATTATTTAAATTTCTTCTTTCAAATCGTTGTCGGTTTTTTTCTTTTCTCTTCCGTTTGATTTCTTGTTCTACTTTATCGGGGTCTTTACCTTCATTTATTAGTTTTTTTCTTTTGTTAATTAAACGCCGTTCATCAAAATCAGTTTCATCTAATTTGATCTGAGCTTCTCTTTTTGTAACATGTACTTGAGTCAAAATCTTGGCAACATGAAGTCCTATTATAAGGACAAAATAATAATTAGAAATTGTACTATTGTTGAACATTTTAAATAAATAAGTAAAAAGAATTAACTTAAAATTGACAATTATTAATAAATAATAATATTTATTTAATAATATGTGACCTTCGATATCAAATTAAATAATATAGTATTTGAAATAAGTACATAAGAAATACAAAATAATATTAAGAATGGTTAGTTATTACTGATTAGTGATTGATTACCATTGACATAATTTTTTTTTTAATTTCCAACTAATTGTTTTTATAGGGGTTTTTATTCTAACTTCACATCTTCTGATCAGTGGCGCCGAACCCTATATTCAGGTAGGGCGGATGCCCTACCTCATAATATTTAGGTGGTGGGTGGGTGGTTTGGTGGTTCAGTGATTGTGTCAACGAGTTACTTATACCTGGACTTATTTTTGTAGCCTACGCCTTTACAGCCTTACAGGCAATCTACAGCCTAAATACAGAATAATTAAAACCATGATAATTAGTTAGTAAATATAGTATGCTAGGTAACACGGTCGTTGTCTATTCAATGATCAAATAAAAAAAAGCATATCAGTGGAAGCATTGCATATACACATAATAGCATAGCATATAATACCTATTACCTAATAGTTAGAACTTAATTTGTGGTAGTGCTAATAATTATCTTGTTAACCTGAAAACCATAGTAAGCATAAAATATTTATAAGTTATATTTTAAAACATAACTAGTGTCTAGTAAGTCAATTTGGAATTATGTATAATATGTTGGTATAATTTCAATCCAAAATAAAAGTATGTATAACGATTACTGATAAGGTTTACCTAATATAAAGGTGGGTAAGTGGATGTCGCTCTGCTGTACAGTAGGTTACAAGTGGGTCACTGTATAATGGATGCTATTAAATTTGAATTCAATGATACAATATCATTGTATAAGAAAAACGATTCTGAGCGAAGACGGTATGTCAGTCTAGGTTTAAGACAAATTATATACATATCAATGGTATTAAAAAAAAATTGACCTATAATAAATTCCAAATTAATCATATTACATTATCACAATATCCATTAGGTACTTATAACACGTTATACATCAACATCAATAACAAACCCTGATACTATCATAGATATATAATAGTACACTTCAGAAGTTTCAAGTAGGTACCCACGAATAATATTATATAATCACAATAAAATAACTAGGTTTTTTAATATGTAATTTCGTCCAAATTTGAACATAAAATGACTATAAAAATAAACTGTGATTGTATATTTTTTAGATTTTTCGGTAAGAGAATTAACTACTTACGTGGAATCTTGTTTTAAATTTCCAATCCTTAGCTATAAAAACTGAACATTTTATAATTTATTAATTACGATGATTAACAATTTTCGAGATTTTGAAAAATTCTGTCAAAATTCGATGTTTAAATGCTTATAAAAAAAAATTGTGCCTATGTATTTTTAATATTTTTCAACTGATATTGTAACAATATACCAGGAGCCTTGTATTAAATTTTTACACTTTTTGGCCCAACAGATAAAACTTTATTGATATTCATAGAAAAAAAAACTAAAAAAATTGAAAAATGAAAATATCCGTAAACAGCTCAAAAAGAATCAAAATATTTTCAAAATTGTATGGTGTATAGAAAATACTAATATAAACATTCAGTGAAATTTTCATGTATCTATAGTTATTCGTTTATGAATAACAACAAAATAAGGAAATCGCTACATGAGATATCGAGTGAATATCCAATGTTGTAAAAATTTGAATTTCAAACGCTCATAAAAATTTAATTTGACTGTCCGGTAGAGATTTTTTTATTGATAAAGGTAGACAAACTTATGAGTAATCTTGTATTACATTTTCAAATCTTAGATTTAAAAAGAAAAATTTTTACGAATTCTTAACTCAAAATAATTTGCTAATTTTCGTGATTTTTCCATATTTTGTCAATTTTTGAACTTTAAATGCTTATAAAAAAAAAAACTGTGACTAACGATTTTTAATATTTTTCATCTGCCTTTGAAACAATATACTAGGGCCTTCTATTAAATTTTCAAGTTTTTTTAACCGACAAATAAAATTTTATTGATATTTCTAGAAAAAAAAACTAAAAAAAAAATGAAAAATGAAAATGTCCCTAAACAGTTCAAAATAAATCAAAATATTTTGAAAATGTTATCGTGTATAGAAAATGCAAATATAAACAACCAGTGAAAATTTCATGTATCTAAGGTCATTTGTTTTAAAGTTACACCAAAAACCAAATTCAATTTTCTGAAAAATCGATTTTGGGTAAAAATTCCCATTTTTCCTTAATTTTTCTTTTGTTTTTCTTGGCGCTTTTGAAAAGTACTGTGAATTTTAAACCTCCTAAATTGACCTTCTCAATACACCAACGATATTCACTTTCCAATCGAACAAGATACTGAAGTCGAAAATCGAAGCATTATTTCGACTACTTATCGTGTACACAGACACAAAAATAAAAAAATAAAAAAATAAAAAAATAGAAAAACACACATCATTGTAAAATCAATACATTCATCGTTTCACTCAGAATCTAAAAATGTGTTATTGAAACTATACTGGTGAATCAAATATTTTTTGTAAACGTCAAATATTATTGGTCTGGGGGTGGTGGTGTCTCATAATTTTGAAAGTTAGCCCTACCTAATTTTTTTGGTTTCGGCGCCACTGCTTCTGATCTATCATTAAAATAAATCCTATACAAAACAATTTGTAATCCCAAAGACTTACTAAAAAAACTTAAGAGTAAACAAATTATTAAATATTTTTACGAATTCATATAATTATGAACTACAATAAGGCAAAATAATAAATATTAAAATTGTGAATAAATATAATTTTTATACCATTTAAAAATTGAAATGTAAAAATGTTATGTTCACAGTCTTACAAAAGGTCAAACATTCCTAATTCGTGTTTATAAGAACCAATTTTGAATTAATATTAGAGTGAATTGACCTATTTTGAACTTTTAATGTAAGAAAATTATAAGTTCTTATATGGTTTTTTAATATATTAAAATTATTAAGAGAGTATTTTTATGAGTATATAAAATACTCCAATTAAAAAAAAATATATAACTTGCACACAAATTAAAATATTGTACAAAATTGACAAACTCTTGCCTATAGTTTAAGTTTGATGATAGGTTAAATTCAGTATAATATTGTAGCCAGTAATGTATAATTCTTTTTCCTGAACCCAAATTGTATATGCTAAATGTATGCATGACGGAGACAACATAGGTGGGAGTGAAAACTCACAAGGTATAATAAAACAATTATTTGAGTAAATCATATAGGATTATTATCTCCAAGATAAGATGTCTAATATGCTCATTTGTCCTTTTATCAAATAGTGTTTTTTTAATACATTATTCGAAATTACCCCAAAAAATTCTACAACTTAACGTCTAATATATAAATAAAATATATATTAAATATTTTAAAATATATTTATCAAATAATGTACAATGTACCTGAAACATCATATTCTTTTAATCGAATATTAATTTTTGCTTCAATTGCTTTTACTAATTTTATATCATGTTGGGTAACAATAGATACAGCACGGCCTTGTCTTCCTGCTCTAGCAGTTCTTCCAACTCTATGAACATAATCAGTGGCATTGTTTGGAATTATATGATTTATTACTAATGATACTGCAGGAATATCAAGACCACGACTGGCAACATCAGTAGCAATTAAAATTTTAGAAACATGAGATTTGAATTTTGCTAGCCCAGCTAATCTCTGGCGTTGAGATATCATTGCATGAAGTGACACTGTGTCAAATCCAACTTCATTTAATGTCATATGCAGTAACTGACAGTTCCTATAAAATAATATTTTTAATAAATAACATAATATAAACAAATAACAATACACTTGTACACATACTAATTAAAATAATTATTTATTTAGTTATTTTGATTGTTAGTTAGACTAATTATTATTTAAAAAGACTCAAAGTAGAAAATAGTAGCATTTTTAGTTTTTACTGTCATAAAAGGTAATAAAACAAATCTTTGTAAAATCAATACATTCATTACTCCACTCAGAATCTAAAATATCTACATTAGATTGATTTTATAAAACTTAACTGCATTATATATATTATATATATGTACTTACTTGCATGTATCAGTAAATATCATAATCAGTCCCTTTTCATCTTTTTCACGAAATTGTCGAACTATTTCTACCAAATATCCATCCTTTACATTATATGGACAAAGCACATAAAATTGTTCAAGTTCATCAACGGTCTTCACTTCAGCTGTTGATTCATACACAAAAGTCTAAAAATATTATATATTGTGATTATCAAATCAATATTACTATTAAAAATAAAAAAAGGTGTAAAAATAAAATAAATCACACATACCTAAATAGATAAAATAATTAATAAATATTAATTTTACATTTATGCTAATGATATTAAGTTTAATATAATATATTAAAGGATAGAAATTTAAGTAAAAAAGTATTAATTTTTTAGATGTTTTTCCATACTTTTTGCCCATGAAGATTATATACAAATGAATATAAGTATGCTGTATGTATACTATATACAAATAATTAACATATTTAACCTTTCAAAGAATAAATTTTTTTGCAAAATGTCTTAATGCAGTTTTTGTCCTTCAGACAGCGTCTTTAGGTATATAAATAGTGCAAATCTATTGAATAGCTTTTTTGAAAAAATCTAAAACACATATTTTGAGTCTGGGATACAAATTAATCAATTCACAAAATACTAAATAGTCAATACAAAAGTTTAAGTCAAATTCAAAAATTGTATCTTAGAATTGAATAATTTGTAGATTTAGTCATTCTGTCAGACTAGACAAACAGTAAAACAACAAGTCTTAATATTTATCTAAATAGGAGTTTTTGATTAGGATTCATATTTTGTATACTCGATACATCATTATCAACACAAAGAACTATGAGGTATGTAGGCACCTGTCATGACTTAATTTTATAATTTTTAATGTTGTCTCTAGTTAAAAATGTTCTTTAAAACAATGAAATTCAAACTCCATTTTTTTAAGCATTGGATTTGATTATCAATGGTAGGTATTACGTATTTTATTAAAAAATAATGTTAACATTTTATTTTATTTATTATTATCACAGTTAGGTAATAATTTGTGTATAGAAGATCAGTAGCCATGATTTGTTTTTACACAAACTGTATATTATTATGTTTAACTAAATTTTAGACCATTTGTCTTATATACTAATTTATGCAAGTATCGAATGAGTTTTTACAGAAACTAGACTAATAATTTGTTCTCTGCATAGTTATTTATCTTAAGTTCTTAATCACTACTTAAATGAAACTAATAATACAAAGTAATATATAATATGCATTAGAAATATATAAATACTTATTTATTATTATTAAATTAACTTACATTTTTTTTTGTAATCATTTTAACTTTTTCAAGAGTATCGGTCATGGTGGCACTAAATAATAAAGTTTGTCTTTCTTTTGGAAGAGCTTTAAAAATAGTTGCTATTTGTTTATCAAATTTACCTCCTAATAATCTATCTGCTTCATCTAATACTAGAAATTGTATACGTTTCAATGAAAATGTATCACAGCTTTCTAAATGATCAGCAAGTCTAAGTAAATAGTAAAACAAAATAAATGTTGTATTTTATTCATTGAATGTAGCATGTGTATAACTACCTTCCAGGTGTTGAAACCACTATATGAGGTTTATTTGATAATTCCCGTGCTTGAACTATCATTTCCATTCCACCAGTAACTACACAATGTCTGAGATTCTTAGGTTTACCAATTACAGCAAATTGATCTGCAATCTACAAAATTGAACGAATACATTATTGAAAACAGAATGAGTATAGATACGAAGACTTAATGTAACTAAAACAAAGAAAAATTAATTTACTTGATAAGCTAGTTCTCTAGTAGGTGTAAGAATAAGAGCAAATATTCCATAAGGCTCTTCCCAAAGTTTTTGAAGAATAGGCAAAGCAAAAGCTAATGTTTTACCACTTCCAGTTTTAGCACAACCTATACAGTCAATTCCATCCAATATTTTTGGTATACAATTTTTTTGAATTTCGGTTGGTGATTTGACACCTGTATTAGTACAGAATAAAATATTTATGTAAATAGACCTATATTAGATATAGAGCATGAAAGAGGTACTCACCAACCGCTTTAAGCTGATCGCATAAGTATTTTGATAAATTTAAATTTTCAAAATTCATTTTTAATTGATTAAAAATAACATTCACAAAAATAACATTCTCTATTTATCTTTATAGTATTTACTAAAAGAGTATAATTAAGAATTAAGCACGTGCACGGCGCACCTGAAAGCTAAAAACTAAAAACCACGATAGTACGATACCTATATCTTTAATCACGCTAATAACAACTAAATTCTGTGATACTAACACAATACTATCACAGAACAATGATAACTAATCTATAATGTTTGATACAAGTGATAAGGAGAAAGGGGCTGAATAGGCAATCACATACATTTTGTAGCGGGGACACGAAAATACGAAATACCACAGAACAATATGTGATAGGTACTATGCTACTATCCACGGACTAAGATATACAGGACTGGATACGAGATGAATATTGTGGTTACGAAATGTTTTACAACAGGCGGAGTTCGGGGGGATATTTTCCTTTTAGCATTACTAGCGCCGTCTTAGTGGATACTTATGGAACTAGAAATTTGTATGATGTGTTCTAGTTCCATAAGTATCCACTAGGACGGCGCTAGTAATGCTAAAAGGAAAATATCCCCCCGAACACTGCCTGTTGTAAAACATTTCGTAGTCAACCCCCCCCACACCCTCCAACCTTGTCGTGTCCAGTCCTGTATATCTTAGTCCGTGCTACTATCAGTACTATCAATCCTTGGTACTGTCTCAATCCCAAACTCACACTTCTGATTAAGTTCCTGAATCTTGATTAGTGTTTATTCGTTTGAGGCTTGAGGACGTTGGAGTAAAATTGTTGTGCTTGCTTTTATTTATTTAAATATTTCACGTTTTTCAGTAGATTGACAGATGGTAATTTATAAAATTTTAGTAATACAGTGGGTACCGCTTAATGTGATCACATTGGTTCAGGCCATTTTTATTCTATTAACCAGTTGATTCTATAAAGCATATTTTTATCAATATAATATTTGGTTGGGGATTTTTATTTTTGATTCCAATAAACGGTTGATTCTATAAACCAATGATCACATTAAGCGGAACACACTGTATAAGAAATTTTACTTTCGTTCCCTGTTGGAATTAATTTTGTAATTGTACGTGCATTTTATTTATCAGGCCAGTGTTGTTGTTGTTGGATTGGGTTTGGCTGTAGCTGGTTTCGCTGGTCGACAAGTCTTAAGAGCTGCCCCACATGTCGCTCAAAAGATGAGTGAAGTTCTCAAAACAATGACATCCGAATCGGGACTTTTGGTATTATAACAAAACATTATGACTTACTTTCTTACAAACATTTGTTTTATTTTATGCATATTACTTTTAGTCGAGTAGTAAATTTCATAAAGGCGGATTTGAACCTACCATGTCTAAACGTGAAGCCACACTCATACTTGACGTATCAAATAATGCTCCTAAAAACAAAATCAAGGTAAACTAAATAACATTATAATTCTATAAAATCTTAACGCTGCATTTAAACATATTAACTTTTAAAATTCATAGTTTAGTGTACGGCATGTATCTGAATAAGTAATTGTTCATACGATTAGTAACTATAAATAAAAGTTTTTCTAGCATAAAAGTTGATGATTCTTACATTTCATCTGTAAACAATGCAGTATCAAAAATGTTGTGTATAGAGTATTTGGTTTTGCATCAATTGTTGATTTTGATTTTTTTTTTTTGGCTTATTCTGGGCCTTGAAGGTCCATCGCCGCTTCTACTACGCCTCTCCACAACTCTCTGTATTTTGCCAGTTGTTCTCCCTCTCTAATACCCAGAAGCTTGAGGTCTTCTTTGACTCGGTCAGTCCATCGCTGTCTTGGTCTCCCTTGATTTTGATTACTATTTTTAATAGTTAGGTTATTAAATAATGCATAGGTACATTTGTAAATAGTAATTTATCATGTAATAAGTTCTGTATTAAACAACATCCGACAATATCACAATTAAAATAGATGATTTTTCAATTGATAAATATTTATGATTTTTACAATATTTAACTGGATTGATAAAAAGTACATTTAGTTCATAAACAAATAAATAAAACACTATTGTTTCTAAAACAACTTCTTATTAAAAAATAAAAAATAGCTAAATATCACAGTGGTTTTTGTCCTTAATTAACTTGTGAAAACTCATTTATACAATTGATATTATTTGCCCAGAATTCAATGAAGTCAAACTTCTACCATCGATTATAAATACTATTTATAATCAATGCTTCTACTTTCCCAGTATGAAGAATATGTACTTATGTACCTATTTATCTAGTCTTGTAGCACTAGACTGTTATTAGCCACTGTAGTTTTGTTTTTCAAATTAGTGTATATCATTTACATAATTTGAATCTTTGTTCAAGTGTATAATATGGTCCATAGGCGTTCGCAGACTTTCTTTGCAGCGTAGACAGTATTTTTAAATATACCTAGCTCTACAAAAAATAACCCCAAAAACTCTTAATATAACTAACTTTCCTGATAATACAAATGTCAATCTAAATTCAAAAAAAAATATTTAATATAACTTGCATTTTATTTAACTTGTTTTTTGGTTTTAGTTATTTTAATTTGAAAATGTTGTATTGTAATTTCATTAGAATAAATTAACAGTATAAAAACTTACCAAAATATGATCATATTATAATAATGACGAAAATTGATATTCTAATTAATCAAAATTATTTTATTTTTGATAGTAGTATGAAAATAAACAATAGCTCAGGGGCCAAAATGTTCTGTGACAAAACCCACAATTCTTTTGAAAATGGTGGATTTTGACTTCAACTATATTACCATGAGTTAGCAATCTATTCCATTATTTATATTTTATAGGTACCTATCGTTGGTGATTATGAAAATATAATTATGAAATCTAGTTAATCTTTGATTTTGTCTCAACTACAAATATTTTTATATGAAAAAAATTTAAAAATATTAAAAAAATAATCTAAGTATTTATTATTTAAATTCTAATCTTAAACTAAAATACTATTAACTATATTCATGATTCTAATTAAGACATTTACAACTAAAAACTATATGGTTATGATAACTCTGCAGGGGATGCCTATGACTACCAAACAATTGTGCAAGCAGGTTACTGCATAAATATAACTGAGCGTGTGAACCTAGGATTAAATAATTAAAATTTATAAAAGTTTAACCCTATTTAGTATATTGGTGGAGGGGGAGGGGTTTGAGGTAGATACGATGTAGGTATTATATGAACAGAAATGACTTCACAGGAAAAACTTTCAGCTATGTAAAGTTGACAGATTTCGATAAAATTTTTTTTTATCTAAAAGACCGCATTGAACTCCGATTTTTCATTTTATTTCAAATAATGGTAAAAAATAATTTATAAAAAAAGCTTACATTTATCTTATTTTCATTGACATATCATAAAGTTTGAGATTAAAATATTAAAAACCGAAGTCAATGCGGCCTATAAAATATTGTCCTGTAGGCTGTAATAGTTATAAAAACAATGATCAAATTTTGACAGGATAATTATTTCCATAGAATGTATTTTTGTGGACTAATTGACATTGGCACCGGGCTCTTTAAAGAAATTGATTTTGTTTATAATTTATTATAGTTAGGTGCACGTAATAAATTATAATTTTATGAAATATTAATTCAACTTCATGGAGAGTAACAAATAACAATATTATTATGAAATTAAAAAAATTCCATTTTAATGAATAATGCGTGACGCGTGTATTACGTATTGTAACAGGCACGACGTAAAAAACTTCCTATAACAGAGGTGCTTTAAATAATCTATCTTTAGCGATTCAATGAAATATAAAAATAGTATACATTATATATTATTCATTTTCATGAATTATAAACAACAGTTTATTATGTATTATTGGGAAACTGCACGAAATACCTTGTTTTTTTATAAATATTTCATGGCTGACATTTGTTGTACAATGTATATTATTAGACTTTTGGCGCAAAATGCATATTTAATGTTTTTTTATTGCATGGTACTCGATTTAAAGTTTTATTTTTGAAGCACGTAAGCTTGTTTTCCCTGTACAATTTTCCGCTTGTCACATGCGAGGAAAAATATAATTAATTCAATAATAATATGTTATTAGTTAGAACTTACTGTGTACTAGTATAAATAATAGGTACCTATTTTGATTTTTTTGACAGGACGCACACAAACGAATCATGTTGATCAATCACCCGGATAAGGGCGGTTCACCGTACATAGCTGCGAAAATAAACGAGGCCAAAGATCTTCTGGATAAAAAATAAACAGCCGGTCTATTAAGTAACGTTCGCGGAATCGTAGTGTAAATATGTGAATGTACAAAAATATAGATATATATTATATTATTATCATTTTATCGGTAATTTTTATATGGTAAATATTCCATTTTCTTGTCCGTATAGGTATCTAAATATTAATAGGTCTTGAGTTAAAAGAACGTGATACCCACATGTGTTGTCTCCGTCTTACAACTTTACAAGTGCGTAACTTAGCAAATTATACGCAAAGCAGATCACGTGTAGCTTCGTTAGATTGAAAATTAGAGTGAATTGACCTCTTATAAAATCTAAAGGTAAGATAATTATCTAGACAACCTCATGGGCTTTTTATTATATTTTAATTTTAAAGCGACCTATAAGTATTTTAAAATTGTAAATTGTTTGTACATTTTAAAGTACTTATAACTCGCTTAAAAATTAAAATATAATAAAAAGCCCATGAGGTTGTTTGGATTTTATGAGAGGTCAATTTACTCAAATTTTTAAGCCAACAGAGCTACACGTGTTCTGCTTTGCGTATAATTTGCTATGTTATGCACTTGTAAGACGGAGACAACACATGCGGGTATCACGTCCTCTTAATATCATTATTTTTTTCCCGAAAGTTCTTCCATCCTAAATTGATCACGTCCGATGAAAATATAAAATCCAATGTTTCACAACATAATATCTAATTAATATTATATTAACATAATAACATGTATTTTGTACTCCAAATAAATTATAAAACATAGAAAATATACTTAAACATACGTAATAATATTTCGATACAAACATCGATAGGTAGCGGTACCTATTTTAAACAGAAACGTTATTTTTTCGCTATTTTGTGATCTTTTAACAACTTTTTCCTAAACAATCCGTAGTCGTGCTGCATTAGTTCGTATGCTGTCTGACGTAGTTTCTCAACGCGGGCTAAAATCTTCTTCGGCCCACTGGTCTTAGTCTCCTCCAACCGGCGCAACTGGTGTTCCGTCAGCCCCTCCACTTCGCCGGCACACTCTACTATGGCGATGTAGTCATTTTTAATTCTTGACGTTTCGCTGTAATATCAAACGCAAATGTTACAAATGTATCAACTAACTTATCACCCGCAACCCATCCACCATTTCCATGAATGCTTAATGCAGTGGGGAAATATCGATGAAAAAACTGGCGAAGGTGAAATCTTATTTTTTCATTTCATAAATGGTACCTATACATTATGAAGGTGTCAAATTCAAAATTGAAGATGTGGTACTTGTTTGTTATCGCCCCGCCACTGCTCCGTATACGATTTATCATCCCACCACGGGTTTAACCGTCTGTTGTATTGTATAATATTATTTATATACCGACATACCGTTACAAAACTTTCAAATAAAAGTCAATAATACTAAATTGTTTAAAATTAAGTATTAACAATAGCATAGTTAATCATTTTATTAAGGGGGCGGACAGTTATTTTAGCCAAAACATACCATTCTTTATACCATCATACTATTCATACTCTACCTATAAAGTAATGCGGTAATACTTTTTAAAACTGATTTGAATTCGTTATTATGTCTATTTGAGATCGATCAGTCCACTTTTCTCAATTTCACCACTCCCCCTCCCATCAACAGTTTGACTGTGCAATGACTGTAATGTATTATATTGATACACAATTCATAGATATTAATACTTTTGAGTTTTTGGCAACAAATTTAGATTTTGCACTTAAAATTTGATATATGACGGATTGGCGTTCCAAAAAATAGCAATACAAATGAATATGTGACACATACGCAGTGTTTTTTTTATTCTTTTTAAATAAATTAATTTAATTTGTTAAAAAAACACATTTTTTAAATGTATTGAAATTGCTTATTCAAAGCCCCTTTTTGTTAACGTGCGAATGACGTACATTTGCCCTGCAGCTTCAGACATTGGAACAGCACGACATCTAGACACATGTCCCAAACCAGGTGTGGATGCTACTATGCTAGGCGCTATAGGGAAATCGCAGCTTTAAGAGGACGTCTCACCCGGATGTGTTGTCTCCGTCTTACACACGTACGACATATCAAATTTTCGTTTGCTATAGTTTCAATAGGGTATTATCAGTTTTGATATTAGAGTGAATCGACCTATTATCAAACTTTTAGGTAACAACATTATTTGTGTTCTCTCGTTGGTTTTTTAAGATATTTTAATTTTTAAGTGAGTTATGAACATTTTAGAATATGAATACTTTACATACCCATAACTCACTTAAAAATTAAAATATCGTAAAAAACCAACGAGAGAACACAGATAATGTTGTTACCTAAAAGTTTGATAATAGGTCAATTCACTCTAATATCAAAACTGACAATACCCTATTGAAACTAGCCAACAAACATTTGCTATGTCGTATATGTGTGTAAGACGGAGACAACACATGCGGGTGCGACGTCCTCTTAACGATTAGACACTACCAAACTTTAGACTGGTTTTAAGGGGTTCGGCATAGGCAATATCCCTGAACTCTGTTTACTCTATTATTATAACTATACCTACCTAGTGAAGTACCTAATCAAAATTTCAAAAAAAATTGTAATTGATTTACAGTCGTAATATACTTTTTACACAACCGCCACCCAGCCACCAACATAGTTGGACATTAGACGTCGTTGATTATAATATAGTCAACCAACCAATCGAATATCTGGCATGCTCACTTTTCGATTTTTTTGTGATGCACGTAGCGCAACAACCCGTCGCACATCTTCCACAGCTCCAAAATTTCTCCGGAGTCCAATTTGCATGCTTGCAAATAGACTTCGAACATTTTTGTGGCCGTCTGATTGGCCAAAACGTGTTTCAGACTGTTTGTCCACCTGTCCAAGTCGTCTTTGGACACGGAACTACAGGGATCTACACAAGGAACGCAGCTCATTATGACCCAGTTTTTAAAATAATTACCTGAAAATTAGAAACGACATATTATTATTATTAGAAAACAGAAGTTAACAAAAACTAGTACTTAGTTAAGAATTAAGATTCAAATCGGTTGTTTATAGATTTTAAATTCGAATTCATTAAAACCGTTTAAGCTCCATTTCAAGTTTCAACTATATTAAAAAATGTATATCGATGATCAAGCTGTCGAGGTCGCGTTGTACTTGAACATTAATACACAATTTAATAATGTTATGTTCTGACTGCTGACGGCCAACAATAAATTTTGGAAATATTTTCATTAGTAAAAAAATATATATAACATCAACAACTCTACGATCCGTCTAGTAAACCGAAGAAATTCACACATAAAAAGTATTAATATTATATTGTGGCGCGGTCCGTACACTCAACTGCGGAAACGCTCTGAGTGTACGTATCGACCGGTGTTGCTAGCTCCCGGATAGGTGACCAGTGACCACCTGGGATTTTTAGCAACAAATCCTTGCCACACATACAATATACAAACGTATTTCAACCAACCGTTTTTCCCCCTATAAACAAAAATAAAACTAATGGCCATAGTTGCCAAAAATTATTTTTTTTTTAAGACTAAGTTATATAATTTAAATAGATATCATCATATAGTACAAATGAACAACCACTAACTAGTAAAATGTGTCTGGTTGATATGGTAAATGTTTAAACTAACGTCACAACAACTTACGACTAGGACTATCGATTTATTTATTTTTTTTGTAGAATACCATATAGCATACATCTATTTCATAACTCATACCTTGAGCTGTTATCTAATTAATTTGCAATTTATTACTCATCATTTTTATCTATACATTATTTATAAATACAACTGTAAAAGTAGAAAGAACCACTCCATACGGTTTTATATAGGATGTCATAAATTATATAGGTAGTTAATAATCTAATTAAATTTTATTATTATTATTATTATTATTATAGTAGCTATTGCAGATACAATTTATACTAATATATTGTTTAATAGTAAGTAATTTATCAGTAGTTTTATATTTTATAATTAATAATATTATGTTTGTAAAATTGTAAATATTATGAAATTCTAGAAAGTTAGGTAGGTACCTAATATCTAATTTTAATAGATAAAACTAATTTTTTCGAGTGTGTAAAAATAAAATAATAATTTCCCATAGTTAACTGTCTCTTTAATTTTAGAATTACGAATATTTATTAAAACCAAGTCCACATATAAAATTTATTTTTAAAGTAAGTAGGTACCTACCTAAATCCTATGGCATGTAAAATTGTAAAATTACACAAACTAAATATTGCAATTGCATAAGTTAAATTAGGTGCAACTCATAGGCGTGCGCAGCCTCCGGTTTCAGGGGCAGCAAGAGATTAATTCGGCCCATTTTTCAAATTCACCATTAAAACCAGCCCATAGTTTTACTTTTTTTACTATTGGATATCAAAATTAAAATTGTATTGGTTATTGGTTTTTTTGGATAAAAGGTTGTATAGTAAGGTACTAAGCCACTAAAGGTGTACTTTTCTACAAGCCTATATAAAATATTCATCTATAGTTTATCAAAACAAAAAAAAATTTTTGTGGAAATATAATTTTACCGAGGCCCATTATTTAATATTTGCCGGCCCCGGTGGCCCCAAAGAAAGTCCAGGGGCAGCATATGCTGCCTCTGCTGCCCCCGTGCGCACGCCTATGGTGCAACTAGAAGGTTTGGGTCTGTACACCTCTCAATCCCAGAAATATTTATTCAAATTATCAACGTTATATTTATATTTTATACTTTATAGGTTCAAATGTACAATCAATGTTATGGTATATGAATATGACGATTGGACAAAATTATTATAACCTTGTGTCATCCATGCTATTTGTCATTAAGCGTGACTGTAGCCTTTAGAGTTTTAGACTGTAGATTGTATATTGTATATGTGATAATACTACCTAAATAGTAAATAGTAAATACCCATGAACCGTGGATATGAATTTCGCCTTACCAGTTTAGAACTAATAACGAATTAAAAAAAGCTGGTAAGTGGATGTCACTCTGCTGTACAGTAGGTTAGAAGTGGGTCATTGTATAATGGATTGTATTAAACTTGAATTCAATGATATTCTATCATTGTAAAAGAAAAACAATTCTGAGCGGAGACGGTTTGTCAGTCTAGATATTTTATATTGTCATTAATTATTATATCATGTAAGTTGAATTAATATTATAATATTATTATTTTTTATTCGTTTCTATGGTAATAAACAAAGCGTTAGAAATTATTAAATTAAAATCTAATTTTTAGCGGTTTTTCGTAATTTTTCGGTGGTTTTTAACGTGGCATTAAATAACTATTGATAAAATCGAAAATGATCTCTTTAAAGTACCATCTTGATCCAATTTGCTAAAATATAAAGTACTATATGTTGAAATCGAAGCACTCCTTCAGGTAGAAATTTTGTATACAGGACATAAAAAAAAAAATAACACCATTGTAAACCACTAGCTTCCTCGCTCCGCTCAGAATCTAAAAAATCAAATTATGTATAGGTACTTAGTTTTAAAAGCGCGTTTGTATGAACCATTTAGAATATATATATATTATATATTACTATAATATAGGTACTACCTGTAAGTATAATGTATATAAGTCATAACATATAAATATATAATTGTATATAATTTGTTATTAAAGGAAACATAATATACGTAATTATAATGTAAACAATAGTTAATATTCTGATGCTATAATTTTTTGAATACCTATTTGAAAACATGGCCACTAAGCGGATGGTTGACAATAAAATATTATACTCCACCACTAAGGCACCACCCCAAACTTGAAATAAATACTAGTTGCTCCACTGGTTATAACTTATAGGTATATAGTGTCATAGTAAATTCAAATTTACTTACAATCTCACTGGCCACTGGCAAGTCACTACATATTATTATAATTTAAATTCATTACCTTCTGTTTATCTATTCAAAACCGTTTTTGTGGCATCTATTAAATATAATATTTACATTATATATTTGCTAAAATGCTAATAAATTAGACAAAAATGTAATCGTTTATTTTAAACCTAATATCCTAAAATACTTTTCAAATCCCAATTATATAAATAAACGAAGAAATTCTATGATATAATATAGGTAAGTATTAACTGCAAATGAGTTTTATGCAAAACACGGCATCAGGCCAATATTTTATAGGTCTGTACTCTATTTGATGAATATAGTACGAAATTTATTTTTGGCCATCAGTCATCACCGATGATAATATGCCATCTTCCGTAATTTTGTGTACCTAGTACCACCCCCATTATACAACATTTATTATACTATATTTATTATTTTATACACAAATTAGTACCTATACTGCATAGATTATGCGGCGTTCTATACAATATGCTTAGGTACAAGTCAACATAACTGACAAATACTTTAATGTGAAATGTCTCACTATTATATTGTAAAGAAGTGTTGTACATTTTATATTTTAAATCTAAATAGGTAATCAAAAAATAAATGTAATATAATTATAATTATTATTAATTATAAATACTCCAATCTCTTAACTCTCTATTATTCAAAAAAGTTTTGTACATTTTTTTAAAAATATTTTAATGTATAGATATTAAATATCAAGATACAAAGGGAGTGTTCCTTGGATTAAGTCGATGAAGACCCGTGGGTTGGGGAGTGAAGCAAGAAGCGGGCAGGGCATCCTATATTCCTATAGTATATGAGTATACCTATCATAGTATTATAGTAAAAATTTTAACACAAAATAATAATATATTATGTACTGTGTATAAGTACAAACTATATCTAAGCTATATATTATAATAAATACAACGCATATTGATTGTTTTTGATAAATTATCCATTTTTAACTTAGCTATAGAACTGTAGGTATAAATTAAAAATGTATAATATAGGTATATTATAACTATTAACTAGTGTATAAATTCATAACCCAAAAATCGTATGCACTTATAATAAAATAATAATATCTAGCGTATTAACGTCGTATATTTATTATTTAATAAATATATGAGAGAATATATTTTTTTATTGTAGACCACAAACGCACATATAGGTACTTATCATAACGGTGGAAGAACAATATTTTTGTTACAATTATAATGCATGTTATTTTCGGTAGACCGCGTATCGGTTACCTAACCGCGACCAAACTTAGATCTCTAATTCAAGTTTCCACATACTGGATCTAATATTAAATTCATAAACAGTTTGTGAGAATATTTTAGAAGTATAAATAATAATGTATCGGCTCATTTGCTTGTCTCTTTTATTGTATACATATATAAATTGTAAATATATTATACAAAAATAGTGAAGTTTCGATTGTTTTGGGCGAGGAAGAAGTTTATGGCATGATTGGCATGAATATAAAAAGTAATTTAACTATAATGTTATGAATATTATATACATAAGTATTATGTTTTATAAAATATTAATTAATATAACTCGAGGCAATTGTCTCTGTCTTTTGGGTGAAAATATCGTAATGTTTTCTAGCTCGTTGTTTAACTATGAATTCCCTATGGAAATAACTCACTGTAACGTAACTATATATAATACTGCATCATAGATTAAACCGGGGGCGTCATTTGGGGGTGGGCAGGGTGTGCGACGGCACCACTGACATAATAGAATAAATAATTGGCCCTCCATTAATGCTCCTATCCGCCGATATGATTACTATTAAAAATTAATAAAATATTCTTGGCCCAGTGGCGCTGAAGTCCAACATTTTAACTATGGCATTAGACACCTCCACATACAATTTTGACACCCACCTATTTATTATAATTACCTTACCATGCACAAAGTAAATATATATTTTGGCGCCACTGATTCATGCATGTAATTAAATTTCTTTTTTTTATCAGCTTTATTATCAAATGTATCCCTATATTTGACAACCATGTGAAGCGAGTCTTATTCTGTG